ACTAATCTATTAGAGAAACATGGAAATAAGATTGCACTCCTCATTCCTGGCTCTTCCTCTCATATTTTGCTTGGCTTACATGTTTGATTTTTATTTATTTTGGGGAGAAAGATATGTTATCGCGTAGGCAAAGGGGGCGGGGGGCATGAATCATTTTTTACTCCTTCCACACGTTTTTAAAAGATTATGGGGAAAGATCATATCAATGGTTACTGATAATTTTGTGATTGTTTTTGATGACGATGGTGATAGCAGCTGTCATGTTTTAGGTGACTGTGCTTGTCGCTGTACTGGTCACTTTCTACCTCTTCCCCATTATCATCATTACAAATGGCAAAACTGATGTTCAGAGAGATTAAATAACTTGCCAAGGCTGAGCCTCTGGGAAGTGTCAGAACCAGTATTCAAACCCGGATTCTAGAGCCTGTGCTTTATCCGTTGCTGCCTCTCAAGCCACTTAAAGCCTTTAGAGACCATTTTTATCCAGGCATGTGAGCTTAATGAGGAAAGTCTTTAAAGTTTCAAGGAGAAGAAAAGGGGACTTTGCATTTCTTCTACCAAATAGAGACCTCTATAATTAGAACGTATTCCCTTGACATGTGCTTTTGAGTGCCAATTCATGGAATCAACCCAACTGATTGAGGAAAAAGAGATTGGGAGGCCAGTACTCAATGGGCCTTTCTAAGTACAAGTGCATGCATGCGTGCATGAGTGTGCATGGTGGTTGTGCTCCAGTGCATACTCCCCCCAGCTACAGAATGCTTCCGGCTGTAAGACGAAGACCAGCTGCTGAATTGAGCAAAGCTATTGAAATGCAGCTCTACTCTTTTTAGTACATAACATGAATGAGAAAGATGGAAGTAGGCTACCAGCTAACTGACCATCTCAGTCATGTCTTTCCTTTGTGTTCATTAAGATAGAGCCCCTGGCTGCCAGTTAAACCCAAGGTGCAGGAACCCAGAATGACAGCATTTCTCTGTTCCAACTAGAAGCCAAGTTCACCAAAATCAGGAACGTTCTTCTCTGATAAAGCTGCGTTGTGGGCATAGTCTGCAATAACCGTGTCTAAATGCTGTTTTCTAAAACAAGATTAAAGTGTTATTTCATTTCCTTCGAAAGCAAAGGTACATATGTTTTCACTGAATAGTTTCCTACCAAATGAGCCACTTATCAAGTGTTGGGGGAGGGTGGAAACGAGCTACGGAGTAATAGCATGAATATGTGAATTAATTTTATTTGCATTCAAATTGTGAATGAGTTTATTTATTTTTAATAAAAGCAAGAGCCAAAAAGGAGCGCTATATTTCACTGATGTTATCAGAGAATCTGGAAGTGAGAGTGAGAGCATGTGAGGTCAGTGAGGTGGAGCGGGAGAGAAGTCTTAATTCTGCTCACGCAAGAGTGCTGACGACTGGTGCTCTGAGAAACGTGGGAAGAGGCGGGACTCGGCAGCCTGCCCATGGCTCTGTGTCCCTCCCAACCAGAGTAAGCAGAACGTGCCCTTTCCACCAAGATGGTGTGGTGGGGAAACAGACCGGGGACCTTCTGTGTGGTCCCGTGGGATGGGAGATGCAGAAGCAACTTAAGAACTTTTTATAAAGAACTTTGAAATTCTGTGAATAACTGTGATAAACAGTGAATGTTTTACCTTGACTTGAAAACTATATAAGTTTGATTAGTTCTGCAAAGGCAGAGTATCTTCATGAAAAGGCAGTTTAATTTGAGGAGCTGGCCATAAAAGACTGGCTCATGCAACTTGGTGGCACCTGAGGTAACTCGTGTCAAATCCTTCCTTCTGTTCCCTTTTGTTTTCCAGTTCCTTAGGTTGCCATTGCCTCACTTTGTTATTCTTCAGCCTTTCTTGAGCCTTCTGGAGGATATTCAGGGACAAAGAAGCTGCTGGCTTTAACGAGTCCCTCTGTGTGATGGTGGAGCACTTTATTAGCTTGTCCCAAGATTGGTCTGTAGCAGGGTCAGCAGATTATGGCCCACTTTGGCCCGTCACCTGGGTTTGTAAATAAAGTTTTATTGGAACATAGTACTGCCATTTGTGTGTGTACCACCTCTGGCTGCGTTGGCACCACAGTGGCAGTTTAGTTGTGACAGAGACCAATCTGGCCCACAAAGCCTAGAATATTTATTATCTGGCCCTTTACAGAAAGTTTGCCAGCCCATGGTCTGTGTGAAAAGTGACCTTCACACCATCTGCAATGAGTAATACGCTTCATGGGCAACCAAATAGGAGAGCTCACGGGATGCACCTAGCAGAGAGCAAGCACCCAGTCACAGTTGAAAAGTCTGGATTTCTTGCATATTTGGGGGTAATGCAGCTTTAGATGTGTGGACTTAAGAAAACCTGGTTTTGCGGTTATGATGACATTGTTACGTCAGTGGGTTTTTCTGAAGCATTTGAGAGGCCATGCAGTATGGCTGCGTGTGCGGACTCTGAACCACACTCAGACCGCCTGGGTGCAGACCTGGCTTCTCTGCTCATTAGCCACGTGATCTTGGGAGAAGCTACCCAACATCCTGTGCCTCACCTCTGAAATGAGCATTGTAATGATAGGGACCTCTTGGGCTTGATGGAAGGATTGAATAAGTTAGTGCAGAGCACTTGGAACTGGGCTTATAGCACATAGTAAGTTTCAAGTATTTGCTTTTATTGTTGTCACCAATCAAATCCAGTTTCTGCTGGAAACTGAGAGAAGCTCCTCCTTATCTTCAGAATAAACCCCAAGCTTAGAAGCCTGGTACGCGAGCCCTGCTGACTCTGGCCTCTTCCCCTGTGCCTACCTCATGGCCCCACGAAGATCGTCAGTGACTTTGTCTTGAGTTTGTCAGTCTCTTGCCGTCTGTGCCATCGTCCATGGCCTCTTCTACCCGTGCTCTCCGTCTCCCCCCTTCTGCCTTATTCACATCCAACAGTGAAACCCCTACTGTCTGTACGCCCAAGTTTGAGATACTTTACATATAGTCTATCTTTAACACTAACAGCAGCTCTTCAAGTAGACAGTATTAGACAGGATTATCTGTCTTACAGAGAAAAGAATGAAACAGAGATGAGAACAACTTACCTGAGATCGTGTAGGCACTAAATGCCCAGCTTACACTCAGCTCCTGCTCCCCCAGATCCCAGAGCCTGCCCTGCACGGTCACTGAGGTTGCAGCCCAACAGCGCCTCTATCCAAAGAAATCTTTGCTGACCTCCCCCTACCACAGGTGACCCCTGCATCCCCCACCCCACGCAGGCTGACTTTTAATTCTCATACTTTTCAAGGTGTGTTATCTTTTTTTTTTTTTTTTTTGGGTGAGGGAGATCAGCCCTGAGCTAACATCCATGCTAATCCTCCTCTTTTTGCTGAGGAAGACCGGCTCTGAGCTAACATCTATTGCCAATCCTC